GGCGTCCCAGAGGACTGAGAGCGAACTCTGGAGCGGCCCCTTGGGGAGTCCCCGACTCCCTGGTTTCGGCTCAGGACCCCGAAAGGGAACCCAGGGCCCCTTCCCTCTCATCCTGAGCTCCCAGAGGAACCTCGCGGGGACCTCACTTCCTGTTCACTGGGGCAATCCGGTCGCCTCTCCGGGTGGGAGAAGTTTCTCGCTGGTTGAAGAGGCCAAGTGGCCTGGGAAGTGGGATGGCCAATTGGATGCTGGGGTGGGGTCGCGGAAGGGCGCGCTCAGCCTGCGACCCCTAGACCCCTGGAGAAGTGGCCAGACCCTACCCCGTTGAAACTCACGTCGTCTGTGGAGCTGTGGCCAGAGACCAGCAGAGGACACTGGGCTCTGGGTGAGACACAAGGAGGGGCTGGAAGGGCAGCTGGCACAAGGGGCTCTGCGGGCCTATCCACACCCAGGCCCCCTGGTGTGGAGAGGCGAGCCAGGAAGGGGGCGGGGGCGTTGGCACCCTGCTCTCAGTCGGTGGGGCAAGCGCTCCATCAGTGTGTACAGGTTGAACACAGGGACCCCTGGGCAATGCCTTCTGGCACCTGGGATGTTGAGCCCCTGCCTTCAAAGACCTTACTGCCTGACACAGAACCCGGAGCCGCAATCTGGGGGGCTCAGGAAGCAGCGGTCATGTGACCCAGGGGCCAGGGGTATCTCAGACTTGAGCAGGTGAGGGCTTTGGGGCAGGGCCCCAGAAGGCAGAGTTTCCCACTGTGGAGGGGACGCTGGTTTTGCAGAAGCTTGGAGCCCAAGGGTCTTGGAATGGCAGGGCATTGGAAGCTGGGCAAGGCTTGGATGTACAGCTGTGAGTGTGTATAAGCAACAGTGGCAGCGTTCCTGACTCCTGACCCTGCTGTAGAGAAGGGAAGATGGGGATCCCAGGGCAGTCTTGTGTCACACACCCTGGTAGCATTTCTGAGCCAGTTAGCCACAGGTTGGGCCCCTCCCAGGGTTAGGGGCAGGAGCCCCTCAGTTTTCCTTGCAGAGCTTACTTAAGGCCCACCTGACATCCAAGGGTGGGAGGCGCTGGACAGTGAGATCCCATGGAGGGCAAGTTTTTACAGCCCAGCAGGGTGGGCTTCCCCTCCTCTTCCTGCCCCTGAGCGGCTGGAACAGAAATGCCTATGGGGTCAGATGAAGCTCAGTGAGGGCCCAGGCTTTGGGGGCCAGTGCAGTGCGCTGTCTGCTCTGGGCCAATACTCCCTGGTCACATGAACTCTCTGAGTTTTGGCCTGGGGCAGGGGTGGGGGGACAGGACTTCCTCCATCCCCAGCCCTAGTCACTGCTGCTCAGAGACCCTCCCCCCATTGTACCTGGAACGGGATTCTGGGAGACAGTGTGCCCCCCAGTCACTATCTGGAGGTCTTTTCAGCCTCTCTCTCTCCTGCCCACTCCTGCCCTCCACAGATGTGGGTTCAAATCCCAGCCCACCACTTGCCTGCTCGGTGATTTGGGGCAGGTTGCTTAACCTCTCTGACTTGAGTTTGTTGGCCTTCAAAATGGAGCTAGGGTTCTCCCCTTTGGGGGGTGGTGTGAGGCTCCCTGGGATAGCACAAGGGATGGGTGCACCTGGTCGGGGCCCGGACCGTGGCTTTGTCTCCTGTGGGTCTCCTAACCTCAGTCATCACCGTGGTAAGGAATCGCCTGCCCTAGCTGGCTGGCACGCAGCAGTATGGCTTCGCTGCCACCTCACTTAGCCTCTCACACGTCATTGGCGAGATTTTTCAGGCCACCAGCTGAGAGTGGAGGAAGACGTGGGATTCTGCTTCCATAAAAATGACAGCCTTGGAATCCCCGTGGGGCAGTCCTCCGCTGCTCCATAGGGTTGCTGTTAGTCGGAATTCTCTTGACGGCAATGCGCTGGGTTGGTTTGGGTTTGATGGTGCAGTAGTTACACACTCAGCTAGCTACCTGACAGGGCAGTGATTTGAGTCCACCAGACACTCTGGGAGAGAGGCCTCGCCACCCTCTGGGCACTTCCCTCCTGCCCTCTAGGGTCACTGCAAGATGAGGAGCAGGCCACAGCCAGGCCCCGCTGCCAGAAGTCAGTCACTGGTGTCAGAGCCACACTGCCAGGATGACTGCATAGAGGCCTCTCACACCTGCCTGCCTGTCTGCCCTCCCTCATGCCAACATTAGAAAAGTGTCCCAGTGAACCTTAAAAAACAAAAACCTTGAAATGTATTCCGTTGCTGATAGTTCTCATCTCCACTTTACCAGGGAGCTCAGCAGCCCACACTGCTACTAGCAAGACTAGACGCTGGACAGTTGTCAAATCGTGTCCAGACTGCCTGACTGCAGGCAGCCATTGCTGCTCCATGCCTCACTTTCCTTGTCTGGAAAATGGATGGCTCTTAGGGCCCTTGTGAAGGGCTGAACCCAGCGTCTGACAGGTGGTCACTGGTGTAGGGCTATCGTCCCTGACTGCTGTGGGAATGTCCTGCATTCTCTCTAGCCTCCCTCCTGGGCATGCCCCAGCTCCTTCCTGAATGTTCTGAGATGCCTCTTAGGCAGCCCCGCTGTAGGCCTTGGGTGTTTGTCAGACAGGACAGCACCTTGGTGACCCAGGTGGGAAAAGCCAGATGAATCCTTTGCTCCAGATGGGGAGAGGGGGATATGTCACTGGTAACGAATGCTTCTCTCGGCCAGGTGCTCCCAGGTGGCCTCATGTCATCACGCTGCAGCGGGGACAAAAAGAGCCAGGATTTGAGGATCTATATGGGAATTTTGGCTCTCTCCTGATTCTCTCAGCTCCTGGCCACATTTGTAGCTCCTCTGAGCCGCAGTCTTCTCATCAGTAAGGTGGGAATACCAGCCAGGGTGGAGAAGCCAGCATGATCAGGGCAGGAGCTCCGTGTGGCGCCCAGGTATCCCGTCCACACCCCAGCTCCTCCGGCTTCAAGAGGGAGGCTCCTGGTGTCTTTTGAAGCTGGATGGCTGCCTGTTCCTTTCTGTTTGTGCCTTTTTTTTCCCCCAAGTGTGACTGGGAAAGTGGGACATTAGTCTGTTTGCAAGGAGGCCGGCGATTGTTTTCATGCATTTGTCTCAAACAATGTGTTTCCAAGATGGTTTGGAGTCGGTGAGCACTCTGTAAAGGCAAATTCAGTTCTCCAAAATAGGCCCTTCGGATCCTGGATATTGGATTTTGGAAATTTTTCTTAAAAATCTAAAATCCATTTGATCAAAAAGCAAAACTTTTTTTCAATGCTGTTAAGTATGGTTGGTTGGTTCTTTTTTTTATGTAAGAATGTGTAGCCTCATACAATTAAAGTTTTAATTCATTTCATTTTTGTTGTTTTTGAGAAACCTGTGCAGTTTTACAGAGTACATTTGAATAGCGTTTGCTTGTGGGTAGGTATGTTAATTCACATTTTGCATGTGGGGGAAACTGAGTCGTGGAACTACCTTGTTGTTGGAACGTTGAGTGGACTTTGACTCAGAGAGACCCTGTGTGACAGTGTGGGACTGCCTCTCCCTCACCCTCCACCCTGTGTGCTAGGCTGTAATCTTTTTGGGACCAGGCACCAGGCATTTCTGCTGCTGAGCCTGCTGAAGAGGTTCCCCCACCAACCTTCTGGCCCCTGATACATATGTGATATTAAACGGTGATGACAGCCAAGCGCTTAACCACTGAGCCACAAGAGGTCCTTGGAATTACTTTAAAAAACCAAGCACACTGCCATCAAATGGATTTCGACGCACAGTGACCCTGTAGGTCACGGGAGAACTGCCCCATGTGAGTTTCTGAAACTGTGACTCTTCATGGGAGTAGAAAGCCTCATCTTTCTCCTATGGACTGGCTGGTGGTTTTGAACTGGTGACCTTTCAGCGAGCTGTCAGATGTGTAACTCATTATGCCACCAGGGCTCCTTGGAATTACTTACACCTCAAACCCTCATTTTCTGTTGATCCCATTCCATGAACGGAAGCAGGTTCCTGGGATGCAGAAGGCTATGGGGAGGGGATGGTGAAGGAGTGGAGACGGGCAGATTGTGAAGGGTGCCGGGCCACCGGCAAGAGGGTGGGCACAGAGACATGGCATGTTGCTCCCTCATTCAGGGGAGGTAACTGCTTCAACGTTTATGAAGGACATGTTGGCAACATTGTATCTGAAGCTTCCAATCTTTGTGGCCTGTGACTCAGGGATTTTCAGAAACAAATGTGGGTGTGTGCGGGGCTATTGTCTTTAGGTTGCTCATAAGAGAAGGGGGGAAAGTAGAAATGACCTAAATACCGTACAGAAGTAAACAGGAGTCCGTTTGTGCCGGGGAATCCTAGGTAGCCACTGATTATTCTGTTAAAGGTTAGGTGTCCTTCTGAGCAGATGGCCCCTGGCACATAGGTGATAATAAAAGCGGTGATGACAGATCACACTCGGATGGCATATGCCTTGTGCCAGGCACAGTCCCAAGAGCTGTATATACATTAACTCGTTGTCATAACAACTCTAGCAAGTGTGAGCATTGTTTCCTCCTTTTTACAGATGGAGAAACTGAGGCCAAAGGAGGTTAAGTGGTGAATGACTGGCTAGACTTCAAACCAGGCAAACTGCCACCAACATTCAAAAGCTGGTCCAAGAGAGAGAGAGAGAGAGAGAGAGAGAGAGAGAACTGTTTGTTAGAAATCAACTCTACGCCCCAACTTCATATCCATTTCAGTTTTATTTTGCCTTCCTTTCTAGCTGCTCAGACCAATGCTTCAACCTGAGGGGTGAGGATTCCAGAGAGCTTTTAAGGCCGTGAGCCTTCTCCCTCTCTCTCTTAAAAATTTAATTTTCTTTATTATTTGATGTTTTTATTTATTTGCATCTGTTTAAAATGCCCCCTTTCATTCGTGGAATGAAACACTTACAAAGAAAAACATGTTCTATGTAGTTGCACCCACCCATCTCATCAATTCAAATCAGTAACAGCACCCCCCTCCCAATATGTGGTTCTTTTTAAAACTTTATTTTCTTTTCTACTCTCCCTCCATAGTTTCCAGTGCCTTCTCCTTCCCACCCCCACCCCAGCCTCTTCATAGTCTTCAATGTCTTATCCTTTGGTGTGAAAACCATTCTTGTTTTTCTTTATTTTCCTTTGTAATCTGTCTTAAAATATTTATCTTTCTGGGATTGACTAACTTTGGTAAGCATAATGTTCTCCCATTTTGTCCATGTCTTAAGGTGTTTGTTTTTTAAGGATGCTTAATATCCAGTTGTATGAGTGTACCAGCATTTGTTTTTCCATTCTTCTGTAGTCTTTTATTTAACGCCACCTATTGCTATTGTAGACGTTGCTGCAA